AGCCCTTGTGTGCGCGTGTGAACACACACACACTCACGTAGATGCTGAAAGTTACTTGCTGTGCCCCCTTCTTGTTACTATTCAGAAAGGAACCATCCAGTTGTTGTGCTCATTTGACCCGTGGTCAGAGAGTTTCTAAAGACCTGATTCTGGTCCCATATTGATTTTACACTGATGTAACTCCATTCACTTCAGTGGAGATACTCCTGATTTACACTGACAGCGGAGAATCTGGCCCTCCACTATATCACAGGCAACAGATATAGTCCAGATGTGTTTCCACCTACTCCCCACTTACCTCAAATTCACCCAAGAACATAATTATTGATCGCATTAGCACCTACCAGTTCCAATCGTGGACCAGGACCCCATTGTGCTAGGCGTAGGTGTCATGGATTCATGGGTCTGGTTTATGCCCTGGCCTTCAACCCATCTCCTGGGAGTAACACTTTTGTGTGTTGGGTCCCCTATGTCCCACGGGGCTGGTGCAGCAGCTCCATGACTCTGAAGCTGGGCTTTTGGGCCCTAGCTATCCCTGTCTCTGTATGGTTATGACTGCACAGGAAAGACAAACCTGCAGCTGGCCTGTGCCAGCTGACTTGCGCTCGTGGGGCTTGGACTGCGGGGCTGTTTCATTGCCGTGTAAATGTCTGGGCTCAGGCTGGAGCCTGGGCTTTAGGACCCTGCAGGGTGGGAGGGTCCCAGAGCTCGGGCTCCAGCCAAGTCCAGAAGTCTACACAGCAATGAAACAGCCCCACAAGCCCGAGTCGGTTGGCACAGGCCAACTGCGGGTTTTCTTTGCTGTGTCCACATACTCTCCGGGGCTCCCTGCAGCAAGTCCAGCCAAGCCAGACTCCTATGAGAGACTCCCTGCCACTTCTGGGCGCAATGCTCTCAGTAAGTATCTGCAGTATCCACAGCACAGGCCTTTGCAGAGGAAGGAAACAGTTTATCAGTTACCTGGAATACAAACTCTGAACGTCCTTGGGTTAGCATGAAAGAGGTGGAAGCCAGGGTTTTGCCATGCCTGCTTCCCTATGCTCCATCCCTGCTCTTTGTGTCTCCGTAGAGAGCCCCGTGGCTGTGTCTCTGAGGCCAGTTCTTAACACAGGTTCCTGTGTCCATTGTCCTTCTGTTGCAAAACCGTGCTGTGTTCACATATTCAGCTACCTCTGCAACAAACGTGTTGATTCTAGCCCAGACAGTCCTAGTGGCTATATATGTCAAATACCTAACCTGATCTCCCATATCCCAGGAAGAAAAATCAGTTCTTCCCGCAACGGGTAGCAGTGCAAAGGTGCTCGGTACAGAGTCATGTAGATACTTCATAAAATATTAAGGACAATTCTCACATTTGTCAAAGATGTATAAACACAGAACAAAAAGACAGTCCCTGACCCAAAGAGGTTACAATCTAAGTAGAATAGTAATGTGCCTATATATGGAATAAGTAGTTTGCGACACACAGAGCAACTCACAGAATGGAATAAACCCTTTGGGGTCAGGGTGCAATCAAACTGTCCTGCTCGGATTTAACGATGCTACTGCAGATGTTATTTCACAATGTTTGCGTTTAGGAATTGCAGAAACATTTTTCATCTTGTTTTCGTACTATTTCTCTACATTGTAGACAAGCCTGGATTCGTGAAACAGCTCCTAACTGTTATGAACAATTAATGTCAAGCTTACACAATAGATCTTGCTATCGCTCTTCCCTCCCGCCTCCCGTGATAACTGTAGGGGACAGTAATTTATAGTTGCCATTCTTTTACAAAAGGAGCGCACATGACAAAGGATCAGAAAGAAAGGAGGCTAAATATCCTGACAAAAATGTGTTTTATCAGGAAATCAGTTTTTAAAACAAATCCCGGCACAACTCCAAACCTAGCTAGCTGCATGCAAAGCTGTGAAGAGAGGAATAAGAAATTTCAGAACTCACTGCTTGGGCTCTAGAGCCTTCACGGCTTCTGATCCTTGTTTTATATTGCACCCATTACTGTGATATCCTGTTTTGGGAGAAGTGCTTGAGAGTTAAAGTATTTATACTGCTCCTCTGTCCTCTCTCTGTGTGACTGATGTACCCTCAGATACTACAGTGATCAGCGCTTGACACATGTATGTAGAAATTTACATGGTCACCCCTGCCCTTCCCCATCTTTTACTCCTGGGGGCATTCTGTGCCCAAAAATTACAAATTCTGTGCATACTGACCATACTGGGATTGTTGGGTGATTTAAAGGATGACACCTAGTCCCCTTTCCACTTCTTTTTTAGTTACACAATATGGACCTTTGCCTCAGGAGGTTCTATCTTCAGAGATTGATCTTGGAGTTCCTTTGTCTTTGTAAATCTTCAGGCCAGCACCTGACCCAGGCAACAAACACAGCCTCTGTCACCAAGTATGCCCATTGTTTTTATGCTGATTGGGTTGGCCTGGAGGCATACAATACACAATGGCCTGCCAGAAATATAAATATTTACTACCTCTGTTTATCACGTTTTGGCGACCTGTCTTAACTTAGCTATTTTAAGAACATAATTTTCAGGATACATACAGAACTCCTTACACATTATCTGCGCATACATCTCACAACAATGATGATGACCAGTGTGACACATGCTTTCAGTAGAGAACTTACGTGACCCCTCTTGGTGAATGTAGGGGATCTTTGTAACCCTATGTACCCCTGTGCCCTCTCCCAGTGGGCACCAAGAGGTCCTTGGGTCACGGACATGAACTAGTAACCCCTCACAAAAATGCAGAAAGGTTTTGTTCTCTTTATTTTTAAAGCGACTGTTCCATTTTAGAAGCAATGTTTAGCTACTGTGCTTAGCAATCATCGCTGGATGTAGCAAACCCAAATCACTTCCTACCTAAAAATCCCCGAAAGGCCTCACTCTCTCCTTCCCAGCCGTCAATACTGCCAGCGTCCCCTACTAACGTCTACAGTGCAGTGACTCATCACTAGTAAAAACTGCAGCACGCTGAAAACATATCATTTGGAGACAGTGTAAAATGAATTGAATTCAGAGTCAAAACAAATAGATCATACGAGGAAGAGTGGTTGGATGGGAGCTTGGGGGACAGTGAAGGGAATGGGCATGATTGATTGCATGGGAAATATAACCTTGGTTTAATGGGCCACTGAAATCAATGGCAAGATTCCAGTTGACTCCAAGTGGCATTGGGTCAGTGTCTGCACATGTACGGGAAGGCTTTGTGATGGCCATTAACTTTTAAACATGTATTGTCAAAGATTTAGTCACCCACGCTTTTATCACCGGGATAATGATGATCATTTTAAGTACGTTCTAATGACGACACATGTCTTGGAGATTTCTACAAAATGAACCATAGCCAGTTAAAAGAACATCATTTGGCAAAATAATCAGTCATGGAAGGTGCAGATTGAAAAGATGGATTGAGTCATCCACGTCTAATTCAATGGAGGACTATTCCCTAAAAAAAGACTGGACAAAAGACTCTCTCTAGTTTTATATATCCCAGGAAATGGGGCTCCTGTCAGTTTCCTTTGGATACTATTCTGCAGCCTTATATGTATAATTTTGGAGAGGTTTTCTTGATGGTCCCCCTCTATTTTCCCTTTCTTAATGTAGTTGCGCCTATCTATATTGCCCTGTGGCACGCTATATAATTTTTCTCTCTTTTGGGGTGAAACCCTGGCCCCCTCGAAGTCAATGATATCAGTGAGGCCCAGATTTCACTCCTGGTGTTGTAAAAAATCCCCCCACCCCCCTAGTTGTCACTCACCCAAGGAGTACAGGTGGTTCAGTCTTTCCTCCTAAACCCATTAGCCTTCTGGTAATTTTTGTTCCTCTTCTCTGAACTCCCCCCTGAATTTACCGATATCTTTCTGGTAATGTGGGGAAAGATTTTTCAAAGGCACATGAAGAGCAGATGTGCCAGAGGCATGCAGAGAAGGGCCCATTGCCTTTCTGCAATCCTTATGAAGATGAAAAAATGACACACATTTCTGTTTTGAGATTTTTAAACCTCTCTCCACACTCTACTTCCAAAAAATCAGAAACTGTCTTAGGTTCTGGTTCTGCAAGGTATGTAAACACATGCCTAACTTTAAGGCTGTGACTAGTCCCACTTAATTCAATGGGACTGCTGACAATGCAGAAAGTTAGACATGCTTAACTGTGTGGCTGAATCAGGGCCTGAGTGTAGAAAATGGTTATATTTCATTTAAACATCAAAAGAACATTGTAATTATTCTCAGCTTCCCCTTCCTTTGCCAACAATTGATGTCAAAATGTTCCTTTTAAACGTTCTCATAGAAATGAATACAGCCTATGGACTTGTTCCCCCCTGGGAAAAAACATTTGTGTAGTAAATGGCTAGAGCATAGTATTGGGAGTGGGGATTTCTGCTTCTGTCTGCTGTTGATTGACTGTGTGACCTTTGGGCAAGTCAATTAAAAAAACAAAACAAAAAAAGACTTTCTGTTCCTCAGTTTCCCCATCTTTAAGGTGGATATGATATGATACTTAACTCAAGGGGGTGTTAAGGGAATCAAGGTTTGTAAATGCTTTGAGAACCTTGGCTGAAATTTGCTATATAAGCACAGAGTATTTTTATATAGATTGTTCTGGTGCTAATCGTGTAATGTATGAGCACCACAAGAAGTGCTAGCGTTCAAGTGGTCTGTATTTAAGTTTTTGTCATAATGGCTTTCATCTAGCTGCTGTAAGATTATCTGGAGCTCTTTGTGTCTGCTACAAAATGCATGCCTTGCTGTGGAATCTTGGATTTCTGGTGGTGGCTTAGTGGCTGTATCTTTAAGCTGGTGGAAGGGTTCTTGCCTTTCCTTCTCTCTAGGCTGGATAGTTTTGATAGATAACACATAGACGTTGATGGACAAGTGATTTACGGTAATCTCTTATAATGCTTATTCTATAGCTCACAGAATTGTAAGTGTGGCATGCTGGCAAAACTGAACAACTGATCATCAGATACAGGTCATGGTATAAGCATGGCTTCTCAGAATGCTCAGAGTTTCCTCCAGCCACTCTCCTCCTGGATGTCCCGGATGTACGAAGCTGTCCAACAAGCGGGAGACTCCTTATCTTCTTCATTGGTCAACTTGAGCAGAGTGGACCACAAATCGGAGGAAGATGGAAACCAGGACTTAGAAGACAGTGACGGCAGTTATAAGGACTACTCTGAAGATTCAGAAGATGAAGGAAGCTTTAGCCAGAACATGAAAGGTGCTGAGCATGTGCATTCTGAAGACAGTCACTTTCCATCCACAAGTCATGATCTTGATTCCGAGGCACCTGCCCGTGGCTCTAACATGGATCTGCAATTGCAGAAAAGAGTGAGAAGTGGCACCAGCTCCTCAGAGCAACGTCCAGACGACACCAGCTCTCTGTCATCCCAGGGATTTTACCAAGAATATGACGACCACCAACTGCTAGGTATGCTTCCTGCCATACCCGAGGAGGAAGGCTACCTCAACAGGCAGATAAGGGATCTTCAGCGTGACCTTGATGTGGCTGGCTCATTAGAAAATATTAATGGAAAAGCATGTGTGGAAGGTAAGATGGTGGTAACCACCCGGCAGCATTATGCAAGAGGGCCGATTTCTCTCCTTTGACTTTGATTGATTTAGTTATTAATCTACTCATTTTATTTTACATCATCTCGTGTAGATTTCTCACAGCTTCAAAATCCCCAAACCAACCATGCTAATGGCCCTGATTCTCCTCTGTCTTTCAGAATTAATTGCATTAAAGTGAGTGGAGTTCAACGGGTGTAAAGACACGGTAGGTTAGAGGAAAATCAGGCCCTGTTATCGTATTAAGAAATGCAGTTCATGTCCCACATTTATTCAATTCAGGCTCATGAGCTTGACATGTTAGTGTGCTGTGGATTTCAGCCAAAATGCTTCAGGTATCAGAACCCTTCAAAGGGAGCCTTTCGCCTTAAGCCTTCACTTTGAGAAGCATCTGCTTGTACATCATTGCTTAAAAAAAGAAAATCAAACCTTGCCAGGAATCTCAAGATGTTTCTGTGTGGTTTGCTTTGAAATGGTGTACGGAAAGCTAGATGTGTTTTGAGAGTTACAGGTGAAGTACTCCCAGATCACTTTTTCTCCTCACAACTTTTCAAATAAGATCTAAGAGGACCATAGGTGCTGACTTCTACTGGCACCGGTGAGTGCTCGACCCCCCTCTGCCCCTGGCCCCGCCCCAACTCCACCCCTGCCCTGGCCCCTCCTACCCCATTCCAACCCCTTCCCCAAAGTCCCCGCCCCAACTCCGCCCCCTCCCTGCCCCTATTCCGACTCCTTCCCCAAATCCCCGCCTCGGCCCTGCCTCTTCCCCCCCTCCTCCCCTGAGTGCGCCACATTCCTGCTCCTCCCCTCGCCTCCCAGAGCTTGCTATAGCTGTTTGGCGGCGGCAAGTGCTGGGAGGTAGGCTGAGGAGCGGGGACGCGGCTCGCTCAGGGGAGGAGGCGGAGGCAGAGGAGGAGGTGAAGTGGGGCAGGGAGCTTGGCTCCCGGTGGGTGCAGAGCACCCACTAATTTTTCCCCATGGGTGCTCCAGCCCTGGAGCATCCACGGAGTCGGCGCCTATGAAGAGGACACTAAGCAGGAAATTACAGGAAATGGATCAGAATTTGATTTAAAAAAAAAAAAATAAGTTAAATGAATCGTTTCAGGGGTCTGAATCTCAGCTACCCAAAGGATGCATAGCAGATATCCCCCTAATAATGGCTTCAAGACTGGGCTTGATAAGTTTATGAAGGGGATGGTATGATGAGACTGCCTTCAATGGCATGTAGCTGATCTGCGACTGCTAGCAGCAAATATCTCCAACAGGTGGCGATTGGACACTAGGTGGGGAGGGCTCTTAGTTACTACAGAGAACTCTTTCCCAGGTATCTGGCTGGTGGGTCTTGCCCACATGCTCAGGGTCTCACTGATCGCCATATTTGGGGTCGGGAAGGAATTCGCCCCCAGGTCAGATTGACAGAGGCCCTGCATTTTTTTTGTCTTCCTCTGCAACATGGGGCACAGGTCACTTGCAGGTTTAAACTAGTGTAAATGGTGGATTCTCTGTAACTTGAAGTCTTTAAACCATGATTTAAGGACTTCAGTAACTCAGCCAGAGGTTAGGGGTCTATTACTGGAGTGGGTGGGTGAGGTTCTGTGGCCTGTAATGTGCAGGAGGTCAGACTAGATGATTATGATGGTACCTTCTGGCCTTTGAGTCTATGAGTCTCTAAGTTAAATGTATAGTTTCAAGGATCTGTATGTCACCTACCCAAAGGATGCAGACTAGTTTTCCCCCTAATAATGGAGAGAGAGAGGGCTGCAGTAATCTTAAAACTTTGGCTGATGAGCAACTTTAAACACAACACCCTTCGAGGTGGGTGGTGGTGGTCTGGAATTTCTGTGCTTCTGCACAATGTTGCATGTGACCTCATTGTGTGTATGTTCATGTGGAATTTCCTCTATCAATCCACTTTCCATGTGCGATCAGGGAGAGCTGGCAGAGGTGTAAAGCCTATGTGGACACTGCACGAAAACTAGCATCCCGACTACGTTGTATAGAGGTAATGATGTATTAAAGCCATTGTTTCAGGGAATTTATATTTTCTCTTGGCCTAGGGTAAAATTTTCAAAAGTGATTAAGACTTCCAAGTGCTTAACTCTTTTGAAAATGGCATTTAGACACTTCTGAAAATTTGAACCCGCTGTTGCAAAAGCTCTCTCCTGAGAGCGGCTAAACACCTTCGACTCCCACTGTTGCCAGTGCGAGCTGTGGGTGCTCAGCACCTCCGGTATGGTGCTTGATACTGCACAGGATCTGGCTCTTTGTTTCGATACTTGGTGGGGAGATCAGACATGGATGGTGTCAATCTTGGCAGTGGCCCTTCAAGAAAAATTTAAATCTGTCCTTTACTTTCTTCCCCCTGCACCATCATCCCCATTAAATAAGTAAATAATTAGAAAGGAAGGAATAACCAGCCAATGCTACTCGTTCCCACCATCACCCCCTTCCCCCAAACTGCCCTGCCCGATGCCTTTGATATTGTATTTTAGAGCTGGATCAATGTGAATTCTCAGGTTAGAAATCCATGCCTCAGTAGTGGTGTCTGCTAGAAGGTGAAATTCACAAATGCTACATGAAGCCAGAGTAATCAGGCATTTATGTGGCTGTGCAATGGGATGAAATCCAGCCCTCCTTCCCCTTCCCCAAACTGAGGGCAGGATTTGACATTAAAGGACTGGAATAGTGACCACGTGCTCTCAGCGCCTGTTCTATGGGAGTTCCTGGCCACCGGATCCATGTTAGTTCTTATGGCCTGATTCCTACCACCCTCTCGCCACATTAGTCTATATGGAGCCATCATGGGGCCCTGCTCTGCAGAGATCCCCAGCCCACCCAGCTGCTTTGCCTGAAGCCCCTTCCTTTTCACCTGTAAGCCCCAGCTTTCCACACTCCTAGTGCTTTTTCCTCCACTCTGCACTGCACTACGGACCATATTGTGCCCTCATGACTTGATGGCAGTGAAGTTGCAGGCATGGATCAAGGGCACGATATGGCATGAAGTCCTGACTTCTTTCATCTCAGATCTATCTAAAACATATACATTGCAGCAGCTCGCTGTAAAGTGTGAAAGCACCAAACCGTGATTGAAAGTGTCTTGCTTGAGATTTTTTAAATTTCCCCTGTCTTGGATGTGATTGAACATGTTCTGCTACCCAAAGTGTGACATACCCCTTCCTAAACATACGTGCCCTTCCTTCATCTTTCCCCTCGCTCTTTGGATCTGTTGATTGACACTGAGCATGTGAAATGATCTGATGATAATTGAGATGTGAGAAGATGGGATACCCTGACAACTTTAAATTTCAGGATTTACAACTGGATTGAAATGATCAAGGGAAATGTAAGAGGTATCCGTGTTTCTGTTAGCTTTCTTCCTAACTCTAAATGACAACATAAGTGAGCATATGGGCTGGCTGGCATTCAGTAAAGGAGAGTCATTCACTAGCATAAATATTAAACTTTTGAAAAATTTTCATCTTGCATTTGGCATTATTTGCCTTGGTCCTGTAAAATACATGTTTCCTGTTTATCCTTGGACTCTTTTCAGAACATTGCATCTTGATTTTATTTTACTTTAATGTACCATATTCCCCTCTACAACAGAAGATTTTTAAGCTAAATTGGCACAAAACAAGAGCGATGCTTGAATGCTTTTTGTTGCCATGGAAATATTTCTGGGCACTTACTGAAGACCTGGTTGCCAATAGTAATGTAACAGAGAAAATAGATACACTTCATTTAGCAGCCACAGATGATTAATAGACCCATTACAGGGTCATCCCAATATAGGCTTTGCTGGTTTTAAAAAAACAGCAGCAAAAGAAAAGCCTTTTGCTGGAAAAACATCACCTTTGCTAGACGAAGTAAAGATGACATTATTGCAGTTAAAAAATTGGGCAGAAAAGACCGATTTTATCAAATAAGTTTTTTAACAGATGGTTTTCAGCCACACTTTTTTTTTTTTGCTTTTAAGAAACATGCTCCCTATTTTCTAAATTAGCCCTTCTGCTGGCCTCAGTGCATTCCAAGCATAGATTATTGAAAGGCATCTCTAGGCTAAGGGGTCTAAGTGTTTGAGCATTGAAATCTTTGCGTTCTCAAATCACACTGCTGATAGTTAATGTGGCACATGCTGATTTGCTGTGGCATAGGTTCGGCTGCCACTGAATCCCTGCGTTGAGCCCCCAGTCTATAACTAAGAGATGCAAATACTGTTGTGCCACAAATGCATTGAGAAGTTCTAGCACTGTTTCACTTGGGTCACTTTTGGTCCATTGTCAGAAAACTAGGTACATATGAGATCTGTATAAGGCGCACTGGAGACTGGATACCCCATCCGTATTTAACTGAAGCTCAGTTGCCTTACTCCCTATTCCTCTGTCACACCAGTTTAGCACCAATGCGGAGGAAACATTCTTCTTCTTCGGCTATCCCTCGATGTGAGGATAATGTCTGCCAAGGGGGTTCATTGATGACTTTTTAACTGGCTGAGGAGCCCAATTCTTGCCCTGCAAATTTTCCCACAGAAGTGACAGTTGTAATCTTGGAGGAGATATAGTTGTTGGCTGGAATGCTGTGCCCTTTCTTTCCTCCTTTGTCACTTCTCTGTCTCACGAGCACCTCTGTTCTCCTCAAAGTGAGCTGTGGCTTGGTGTATGATGTGGCACCGCCGTGTTCTGTTCTGCGCCAAGTCCTCCCAGGTTGTTGGGAAGATGCCTCCCTTTTTAAGCTATACTTTCAGTATGTCTTTGAAACGCTTTCGCTGCCCTCCGCGAGCCCTTCTTCCCTGACTTAACTGAGAGAAGAGTACTTGCTTCAGGAGGCAAGTGTCAGGCGTACGTACACAGTGGCCAGCCCAGCGGAGTTGGTGTTTCATGACCTGCGCTTCCATACTGCTGATGCTGGCTGCAGAGAGAACGCTGATGTCAGTGTGTAAGTCTTCCCAGCTGAACCCGAGAATCCTCCTGAGGCAGCGCT